CCCCCCCCCCCCCCCCCCCTCCCCGCACCCGTGCCCCTCTCAAAACAATTTGACTATTTGCCACGATAGCAGGTACACGCTGACCTCTCCCGTTTCCGGGTTGCGGTAGACCCACTCGTTGCAGCCGGGGTATTGGCAGACAGAGGAGCCTTGCATCCCTGGGCGGGGCCATTGCCCACGAGCCCTCGCCATGTTCGCGTGCCTGCGACAACAGAAATCGTGCACCGTGTTGGTGTCCTCGTCGAAAAAGATCTCCGCGTTGCAGCCGTGGAGTTGACAGACCTGAACACCAGTGAGGTTCCAGGATGGGGGGGAGGGGGAGGGGTGTGTCAGGAGGCGGGGGGTAGCGGGAGGCGAGTCAACTTGCGGAGGCCCCTACTGTTGGCGTGCGTGTGTTTGCGTTAAGAGAGTTGGGACGTGCTGCTGCTGCATCAGGAGTTTGCCTCGAGCAACATCAGACATCATGCGGCGCGCGCAAGGGTCGCCGTGGCGGGCAAGAGAAGTTGCTTCGAGGTTTTGTGTTGCTTTAACAAAGATCACGACAGAGATTGGACTGTTCCACTCCAGATGTCCCCTTGAAACGTGTTCCAAGTCTTGACGCCCAGAGTTACAGTATATCCATAGAATACGAGGGCCAAAGACGCACTCGATGCGTGTCATTGGATTCATGCTGCACATTTCGTACTCCGTAGTAAATTTGTGCGACGCCCAGCACAGAAACACCTGGAAATCAAGCACCACTAAACCGTCTACGACGTACAATCTAGAACAAGTGGAGCGTTGCATGGGGCAGCACTCCGCAAAGATAAGCTCCGAAAGAAAGCAAATATTGTATAATGCCTTACGCTAAACGCTCGAGAAAATATTCATTCAGGTTCGACGTTTGTACAAAATCAGTGTTGATTGTTGATTCCTGATTCCCCGTTTGCGTGTACAACGCAACCATGATGCCCTCATCTCCTCCGCGTCAACACGGCCTATATGCTCACGGAATTAAAATCTGTTTCCCCTGCAAATTTGAACTCAAACCCACCGAAAAGGTGGCGAGAGAACCCACAACCTGTGTCCAAACAGCAGTGCTGCAAATAGTGGGACTGCTGCTGTACTACATAATAGACTCAATGCCCTTTGATTTCACCTATTCAAAAAGAACGGATAATGACTGCATAGAGTTGGACAGATGTAATAGCAAGCAGGGCTGCATGATTTTGTGCTTTACACTACTGTACTGCTGTATCTACCAGTTATCCCTCTTTTGCACAGAAATTCGCATTTACGTCTTCAGCAGTTGTTGGTTTGCTCGGGGAGATCGGCTCATACTCACTGCTGCTGCGAATTTTTTGCGCACAAGTATGCATGGAGAGTAAACCTACCTCTTAAGGGACACCCCCTACTAAGGAACATTTTTTTGAAATGGGCGAATATCCCCGCACAATCCGCGGGGACCCTGTTTATTTTTTTTTTCAAAATTATCAGCTTTCCGTTAGCTTTCGTTCGAGCACTTCAGCGCGCCGATCGGGTCACGCATCCCCGAGATACTGCACCCACTCCCTCCACACCCGTGATGCGGGGCGTCTTTGCCATTGTCGGGCTCCTGCTGCCAAGCATGGGGCGGACAAGAGTGGACCCAGAGCAGGCCCAGAAGGCTGTTGATGCGGTACGCAGCGGTCAAATGTCAGTCAGGGGTGCTGCCGAGGCCTACGGGTTAAGCAGGAACTCGCTGCACAGCCGTTTGACCAACAAGGTGGCCATAGATGCGAAGGTTGCTCCCGGGACCGTCCTGAGCAAGGAGGAGGAAGAATTCGTAGAAGATGTCTTGGTCTACGCTTCCCGACGCTTGTTGCTGTTGGGTCGGAGGGAGCTGAAAGACGCTGTGCGGAAGATCTGCCTCGACGGGCGCAAGGTGCGCTGGGACCCAGACAAGGGTCCGGGGGATCGCTGGCTTCAGTGGTTCCTGAAGAGGCACCCGGAGTTGCCGGAGCGAGCCACCCACATCTACGAAGCAAACCGAATCAACGAAGACGACGAGTCTCGCCTTGAAGCCTTCTACGAGACCTGGGACGCGTACCTCTCGGAGACCAAGCTTACGTCGGACCGCATCATGAACACGGATGAGACAAGTTAGTTAGGGCAAGGGCTGAGGTGTCAGTGGCGTCTAGTGGTGTTAGTATCGACTGCTGTGGGTTTGTAGGTGAAGAACCAGCAGCACTGCGATGTGTCACAACAAAGCGGAGTTCTGCTGCTGCTGCGAAAAAAAAACAGCAGTTGTTCCGCATATCTTTGCAGGGCGGCTGCGCCTGTCGTGCACGCACAACGCCGATACTGGATCCGGTTGAGGGTTGAACATGCAGCATTCCCTGTGGCCACCTCAGTTATACTTGTACCAAGGTAATGGTAGGGCTTGTTCATGATCGGACATTTTTTTTGTTTTGGTGCAACACGCAGCAGCGGGTGTGTGCTGTTGGTCCGCACATGCATGTGTGTTGCTGAACGCTGCGCGAAGTGTAAGCAAGCCGATAATTCAGTAGGACGCTCTGTTTTTGTAAGCCCAACTTGGTTTGGAGCTCCATGTAAACTGTCATTGGTGGTGGAGTTTTCGATTCACACCCAAAGTCTAAACGAATCCAACAGCTGTTGCAAACAAAAAAAAAAGTCCCGTCAACACCGCTTGAAACCGTCCCTTGCGAGCAGCGCTCAGGTGTGTGTACGCGCGTTTCTTTTTTTTATGTGCGAGCGCTGCTGCAAAGTATGTGTGTTTTGCTGACTGTTCGACTGCCTTCACCCCCGATGCACGCACGTTCTCCCGTGTGTGTTGTAGGCTCCACCCCGCAAGGTACAAAGTCGGGGAAGGCCATCGTCCCAACACCCTACCATCATCTTCAAAGGCCAGCGTATGCAACCGGCTTGGATCGAGGACAACAACGGCGTCCCCGATGCGAAGTAGCCGAGGAAGACGTGGCTCTGGATGAAGCATAAAGCCGTGACGGTGTTCTTCGCATCGGGGACGCCGTTGTTGTCCTCGATCCAAGCGAGTTGCATACGCTGGCCTTTGAAGATGATGGTAGGGTGGTAGGTGTGGCCGTCGGCGCCGATGCTGGCAACCACCGTCGTATTTTCTCGCGAGTTGGAGCGCCTGGCGCCGGGCACCTACAGTCGCATGGGCGCCGACGGCCACACCTACCACCCTACCATCATCTTCAAAGGCCAGCGTATGCAACCCGCTTGGATCCAGAGCCACGTCTTCCTCGGCTACTTCGCATCAGGGACGACCTTGTTGTACTCGATCCAAGCGGGTTGCATACGCTGGCCTTTGAAGATGATTGTAGGGTGGTAGGTGTGGCCGTCGGCGCCCATGCGACTGTAGGTGCCCGGCGCCAGGCGCTCCAACTCGCGAAAAAATACGACGGTGGTCGCCAGCATCGGCGCCGACGGCCACACCTATCACCCTACCATCATCTTCAAAGGCCAGCGCATGCAACCCGCTTGGATCGAGAGCCACGTCTTCCTCGGCTACTTCGCATCAGGGACGACCTTGTTGTACTCGATCCAAGCGGGTTGCATACGCTGGCCTTTGAAGATGATTGTAGGGTGGTAGGTGTGGCCGTCGGCGCCCATGCGACTGTAGGTGCCCGGCGCCAGGCGCTCCAACTCGCGAAAAAATACGACGGTGGTCGCCAGCATCGGCGCCGACGGCCACACCTATCACCCTACCATCATCTTCAAAGGCCAGCGCATGCAACCCGCTTGGATCCAGTACAACAAGGTCGTCCCTGATGCGAAGTAGCCGAGGAAGACGTGGCTCTGGATCCAAGCGGGTTGCATACGCTGGCCTTTGAAGATGATGGTAGGGTGGTAGGTGTGGCCGTCGGCGCCCATGCGACTGTAGGTGCCCGGCGCCAGGCGCTCCAACTTGCGAGAAAATACGACGGTGGTCGCCAGCATCGGCGCCGACGGCCACACCTACCACCCTACCATCATCTTCAAAAACCAAGGTGCCCGGCGCCAGGCGCTCCAACTCGCGAGAAATACGACGGTGGTCGCCAGCATCGGCGCCGACGGCCACACCTACCACCCTACCATCATCTTCAAAAACCAAGGTGCCCGGCGCCAGGCGCTCCAACTCGCGAGAAATACGACGGTGGTCGCCAGCATCGGCGCCGACGGCCACACCTACCACCCTACCATCATCTTCAAAAACCAAGGTGCCCGGCGCCAGGCGCTCCAACTCGCGAGAAATACGACGGTGGTCGCCAGCATCGGCGCCGACGGCCACACCTACCACCCTACCATCATCTTCAAAAACCAAGGTGCCCGGCGCCAGGCGCTCCAACTCGCGAGAAATACGACGGTGGTCGCCAGCATCGGCGCCGACGACCACACCTACCACCCTACCATCATCTTCAAAAACCAAGGTGCCCGGCGCCAGGCGCTCCAACTCGCGAGAAATACGACGGTGGTCGCCAGCATCGGCGCCGACGACCACACCTACCACCCTACCATCATCTTCAAAGGCCAGCGTATGCAACCCGCTTGCATCGAGGACAACAACGGCGTCCCCGATGCGAAGTACGCCATCACGGAGTCATTCTTCGTCCAGAGCCACGACTTCCTCGGCTACCTTCGAGACTTCCGCGAACAGCTCGATGCGCGTGGCTTGCAGGGCCAAGTTGCCCTCGTCCTCGACGGCCACGCCTCGCACACGACCTTCGACGCCATCAGCTTGGTCATCTCCCTGGACATCAACCTCTTCCAGCTCTCAACCCACACATCGCACATCACCCAGCCCTTGGACGTCGGTACGTTCGGAACCTACAAGAAGGAGCTCACCAGGGTGCTTATGGCCTACCCACTGAAAAACGGGGGGAGGAGTTCGTGAAGCGCAACATGGCTCTCGTGATTGCGGAGGCATGGAGAGGGAGCTTCACGCCTGCGAACAATATGGCAAGGGGCGGGCTTGTGGCCGGTGAACATGGAGAAGGCCATCAACCGACTACTCAGCAAGCGGAAGCAACGGGAGAATGACCGCCCTATCCCTGAAGACCTCGCCGTCGTTGCCTCCAAGGAGCAGCTCGAACAAGACCTCGGCCGCGCTGCCCGCCTGGAGCTGAAAAGACAGGGACTGATGATCGAGGGGCTCCGTGTCAAAACCGTGTTCCTCGGCGGGCTCACCCGCCTCAGCAAGCGCTCCAAGATTTTCGCGAGCGTTCGGGCGGGCGGGGGCAAGCCCGAGGGCGGTCTCCTGTCCGCCGAACACCTTGCTATTGCTAGGAAGGACAAAGAAGAGAAGGAGGAAGCTGAGAAAGCAAAGGCGGAACGCGCAGAGGCAAGGGCAGCGGGGGAGGCCAATCGACCAAGCGAAGCAGGTCGTGGGCAAGGCGGCGGGCGAGGAGGCGGGCGGGGCGGCGGGAGAGCCGGAGGGCGAGGCGCAGGGAGGAGTGGGGGGCGAGGCGAGGGAAGGGGTGGAGGGCGGGGAGAGACGAGTGTGGGGGGTGGGCAAAGCGGTACACGGACGGAGGTTGGGGGGCGCGGTTGTGGTGGGCGTCAGGAAGGGCGAGACGGGCGTGGCCAGGGACAGGGTGGCCGGGGCCGCCCCGCTGGTGCTCGCGTCCAAGGACGCCGAGAGGGGCGGTGGTTCCCTTGGTTCAGCCGCCGCCGCCGCCAGCCCCTATTTCTTCTCGAGGACGGCAACGGACCCCGACAACAATCGTTGATGTTTAGACTAGATGCTCTACGGCTGTTGGTTTTTTCAGGGCTAGTCTACGCGGTGGATGAATTGTAAAGAGTCAGACGTTCAGCAAACGCCATTGAAACGTCTAGGAACCGATATGCATCCCAGGAATTGCATGTTGTTGTGCTTACCCAGCTTTTGGGAGTAGTGTCAGAGCATGCCACGGGGGGCAGGAGGGGGGGGGTTGCCCAGAGGTGTTTTCCGGAACCCTGGGGACGTTGAAATGCTGTCCCCGGGCCTGAAAGGACTATTTATCGTTTTTGCTGCTTCTTGCCTTGCTTGCCGAGTTTACGTGTTTGAATGTATGTAAAGAGGCGTCAAATGAGCCTAAGACGTCATTGGTTTTTCTTTCAGTCAAAACTACTGCCTGTGCCTTCCTGGTTTGGAGGGCTATGTAGAAATGACAGGGGTGCACTCCAGGACCGGGGGTCGGGGGGGG